CCCCCACCCGGGGGATGTATTCATTATGAGTATTGAGTACACCCCCCCGCGCTGAATCCAATCCCTAACCCCTCCTCCGATACTTTCGGATTATCCCGCAACTTGGTTCCTCTCACTCGTCCCAGATGCTGGTGATCAACCGCACACCCAACACCCTCACCAACCTTACGGTCGAGTTGTCGACCATGGGAGATCTCCGCCTGGTGGAGCGGCCACAGTCGCACACCATCGGCCCCCTTGACTCGCGCAATATCCGTGCCAACATTAAGGTGAACCGAAGTGACGTACGTACTTTGTCACGACGAGTAAGCCGCCTGATGCGGTATGATTTCGGTTTCGTTCTGGGAAACCTGGGGGCCAAAGAAGAAGGCGCTTTTTTTTTTTTTTTTTTGGTCGGGGGCGTTCGTTTTGTTGCCGGCTTCATGACTTGGGGTTAGCAGGTGGTGGGGATGGTGGAAAGTAGGTGTTGGCGCGGGTGTATTGCAACTGTGCGTCTCTTTGTGCCGTTGACCTCTGGGCCGCTTCACGGACGGCGCTCGGTACTTTTTGGTCTATGTCGACTGGTGTATGATTGTTTTCGTCGCCTTTCGGTTTCCCGTCTGTTGGAACAAGCAAAGCATTTTTTTTTTTGTGGCGTCCGCGATAAATATACAGCAACATCCAGGCCCTCCCATGTATTGATTTTCGCGTGATGACATGATGACTCATATTTCCACAAAACTGGTCCGTCGTGCAAAGACGCCGATTTTGAATGCCCTTAATTTTGCCCCAGCCTTCGTGCTTGCAACTATTCGCTCTCTCGATCTAATTGTCCAATTAGTTTTGGATTTTTTTTCTACATGTCCTTGCAACAACGGTTGGCTTCCCTTGGATCTCACCTTGTTGGTCTTGTTTTCGTTTTATTTTAGTCTTTTTTGCCGTACATCTGTTCGCTCCCTCGATCTGACCTGGGTGTTGTTTTTGTTCATCCTGCTTTTATCTATTTTCGATGTCGTTCACAGTTCGCTCTCTCGGTCTGACCTGTTTTTTTTTTTTCTACTGCTTTTTTTGTCGTTCAGGTGAGCAGCACCGAGACCGGCCACATCTTCGGGACTATCGTGTACGAGAACAGCTCCACCGCCGAAAAGACGTACATCAACCTCAACGACATACACATGGACATCATGGACTACATCAAGCCCGCCTCGTGCAGCGAGGAGGCTTTCCGCTCCATGTGGGCCGAGTTCGAGTGGGAGAACAAGGTGAGAGATTTTGTTGGGGAACATTGGGGTTGCTTTTTGTCTTGCCTTGAAGTCTATTTTGGTTGATTCTCGGACGTTGCGACGGTCTCGTTTGGCGTCGATGGATGCGGAGAGGTCGTGCGAGAGCAGCGGGGTTGCGTTGTCGTCCCGTGAAGGTATTTGTGTGATGTTGGGGACGTTTCCACCGTCTCGTTTGGCGTCGATGGATGTGCAAATCACACGAGTTGTTTCGTTTTTCTTGTGTGTGTGTTCGAATGTTGGCGCATGGCTGAGGTATTGTTTGTTTTTCTCGCGCGAAAGCAAGGGGAAGGGGCTTGCGACACCAAGGCAGCATGCTTTGGTTTCTGTGTGAACAACACGAGTCACACCCAGAAAACAAAGCAACCCCGCGCCATTGTTGGCAGCATTGTTCTTGCATTTACGATTTTAGCCCGGACACCACAGCACGCCAGAGGCCTCGGAGCACAATCTCGTGCCCCGATGATGTACCGAGAGCTCGCAACAATCCCCGCCCACACCCGTTTCCGTTCCCCAGAAGCGCGCTTTGTTGTCGTCGTTGCCCTCCGAGTATGAACGAACGGCCTACTACTGTACACCTCCCACGCCGCCTGTCTACTACTATTTACCATTATTCCTTGCACGTTTTTTTTCCGTCGTGGCTTTTCTTTTTTTTTTCTTGGAACAACACCCGCTGTCAGGTGGCTGTCAACACGTCGTTCACGGACCTGAACGCCTTCCTGAAGCACCTCGTGGCCAAGACCAACACGAACTGCCTCACGCCGCTGTCGTCTTTGGACGGGTCCAGCTCCTTCCTCGTGAGTGTTGTTTAGTTCTCTAGAGCAAATGATTTCCGGTAGATTGATTCTGCAGTCAGTGCGTGAACCGGCTGATCGACGCCGGTGGCCCGGTAGCGCGGGTGAACAAATTGGTGGGTACAGGCTGAATCACCAAGCTGTTCTGTGCTTCGACTGAATTGCGCCGGTCGACGCGCGAGGCACAAACCGGCATTATTGACCCTGGTCCGGTGAGAACCCGGCGTGCTCCGTTCCGGCTTTGTAGAGATGCGAGGTCAATGGTCTAACGACTACGGCATGCACGACTACGAGTACATCCCCCCCACACACTGTACCACAAAAGTGGTCCCCGCGGGAATTTAAAAGCCTCGTTGCCGTACGTGAAGGCACTGTATGTGTACGGCCGGCAAAACATAAGTAGTTCCCGCCCCGTGTTGGTGTTTGTTTTTTTTGTGTTTGTTTTTTGTTTGTTTCGCTCTTTATTTGCTTTAGTTGTTGGCGTGTTGTGACGCGTGTGGGTTATGGAACGACTATTGTCCGTTCCTGATAGGAAAAATAAGTACAAACACAGAAAGACTACATTTACCCGTTCGAGATATACCCACAGCAGACGAACGGGATGTGTTGGAGTCTTTACAGCAGTGAGTGGAGGAAAACCGTTCCTATGTTGGAAGTCCGTTCTATATTTGCACTTGTTGTACAATTATGTATTTTTTTCAGATCGAACTTCACCAAGTTTTGTTGTATGCATGTCGAGCCTTTAGTCTCGTCTTGTTAAGGGAGCGCTGTCTCTTGTGTTGCTTATACCGACCCCGACCCCCCCCCCCCCCCCCGGGAGGGGGGGAAATTGTACCCCCTGGGCGGGGTTGGGGAGGAACCCCCGGGGAAAGTGAGCGGCC